TACAGTGCTTCCCTGTGCATGTCCTCCTGGGCTTGAGATATACTGAGTGATTGAAACATGAACCATCTGTCCCGTGCGGAGCTGGCTTGAGCAGGAACCCAGCAGTGTGTGACAAGTGTTTTTCAGCAGGTTGTGTGTGCAGACCTCAGCAAACTGCAGGAGCACACACTCTCAGCCATTCATCACATTACCTCAGTCAGTGTGGCCCTGATCCTGCAACTTATGTTACATATGCTAGATCCAGATATTCTACTATTCTTCCAAAAATCTGCATACCAGCTCAGCTTAGCTTTATGTAGCTGTTCTAGCTTTGGATGGTGATTTCGAGAATGGATACTGACAATCACAAACATTTATTTTCATGAAAATTCATACTCTAAAAAATGCTGGGTTGTTTCAACCCAAATTTGGGTAAAATATGGACAAACCCAAATGTTGGGTTAAAAATGTAATTAAAAAAATTACAGTTGAAAGTGAAAGTTGAAGTTGGGTTAACATTAAAAATGACATTTTTAACCCAACATTTGGGTTTGTCCATATTTGACCCAAATTTGGGTTGAAACAACCCAGTGTTGTTTAGAGTGCATAATCTTTATTTGCTATGTTTCCCCTTTGCTCATTGTGACCCCCCCATTCACTTACGTACATTCGTTGTTGTATTATTTAAGAAAAAGTGGTCTGTTTTACTGATTTACAGTATTTATGAGATCAAGGATAACAAAAACAACAAAAGGATGGCGACATATTGGCAATATGGTTTTATGTGTCAGGACATAATGAAAATTCATATGGTCATTGGCAGGTCTTAAAATGAGGTAAATACAACCTCTGATGAACAATAACACATGACCTAGCTATTACACTGTGTCATTATTTATTTAACAAAAGCTAGGCCAAAATGGAAAAGCCATGGGTGACAAGTTAAGTACACCCCTACTTCTTCCATAAGGCACTGCTAATCAAATGTCTTTGATAAATTGATCATCAGCAAGTTTTTATTGTTCTACAGTGAGGAAGATTATTCACAAGTGGAAAACATTCAAGATAGTTGCCAATCTTCCCAGAGGTGGACATCAAATTCAAGTCAAGCCAAGTATATTTATATAGCGCTTTTCACAATATAGATTGCATCAAAGCAGCTTCACAGTATCAATCAAAACTTGATACTGACCCAATGGTGTCCTAAACTTCATCAGGTGACCCAGTGGTTTCCCAAAACGCCATCAGTTGACCCAGTGGTGTCCCAAAACTCCATCAAGTGACCCAATGGTGTCCTAAACACCATCAGGTGACCCAGTGGTGTCCCAAAACTCCATCAAGTGACCCAATGGTGTCCTAAAACTCCATCAGGTGACCCAATGGTGTCCTAAAACTCCATCAGGTGAACCAATGGTGTCCTAAAACTCCATCAGGTGACCTAATGTTGTCCTAAAACTCCATCAGGTGACCCAATGTTGTCCTAAAACTCCATCAGGTGACCCAATGGTGTCCTAAAACTCCATCAGGTGAACCAATAATGTCCTAAAACTCCATCAAGTGACCCAATGGTGTCCTAAAACTCCATCTGGTGAACCAATGGTGTCCTAAAACTCCATCAGGTGACCTAATGGTGTCCTAAAACTCCATCAGGTGAACCAATGGTGTCCTAAAACTCCATCAGGTGACCTAATGTTGTCCTAAAACTCCATCAGGTGACCCAATGTTGTCCTAAAACTCCATCAGGTGACCCAATGGTGTCCTAAAACTCCATCAGGTGAACCAATAATGTCCTAAAACTCCATCAAGTGACCCAATGGTGTCCTAAAACTCCATCAGGTGAACCAATAATGTCCTAAAACTCCATCAAGTGACCCAATGGTGTCCTAAAACTGCATCAGGTGACCCAATGGTGTCCTAAAACTCCATCAGGTGACCCAATGGTGTCATAAAACTCCATCAGGTGACCAAATGGTGTCCTAAAACTCCATCAGGTGACCCAATGGTGTCCTAAAACTCCATCAAGTTACCCAATGGTGTCCTAAAACTGCATCAAGTGACCCTATGGTGTCCTAAAACTCCATCAAGTTACCCAATGGTGTCCTAAAACTGCATCAGGTGACCCAATGGTGTCCTAAAACTCCATCAGGTGACCCAATGGTGTCCTAAAACTCCATCAGGTGAACCAATGGTGTGCTAAAACTCCATCATGTGACCCAATGGTGTCCTAAAACTCCATCAGGTGACCCAATGGTGTCCTAAAACTCCATCTGGTGAACCAATGGTGTCCTAAAACTCCATCAGGTGACCTAATGGTGTCCTAAAACTCCATCAGGTGAACCAATGGTGTCCTAAAACTCCATCAGGTGACCTAATGTTGTCCTAAAACTCCATCAGGTGACCCAATGTTGTCCTAAAACTCCATCAGGTGACCCAATGGTGTCCTAAAACTCCATCAGGTGAACCAATAATGTCCTAAAACTCCATCAAGTGACCCAATGGTGTCCTAAAACTCCATCAGGTGAACCAATAATGTCCTAAAACTCCATCAAGTGACCCAATGGTGTCCTAAAACTGCATCAGGTGACCCAATGGTGTCCTAAAACTCCATCAGGTGACCTAATGGTGTCCTAAAACTCCATCAGGTGAACCAATGGTGTCCTAAAACTCCATCAGGTGACCTAATGTTGTCCTAAAACTCCATCAGGTGACCCAATGTTGTCCTAAAACTCCATCATGTGACCCAATGGTGTCCTAAAACTCCATCAGGTGAACCAATAATGTCCTAAAACTCCATCAAGTGACCCAATGGTGTCCTAAAACTCCATCAGGTGAACCAATAATGTCCTAAAACTCCATCAAGTGACCCAATGGTGTCATAAAACTCCATCAGGTGACCCAATGGTGTCCTAAAACTCCATCAGGTGACCCAATGGTGTCCTAAAACTCCATCAAGTTACCCAATGGTGTCCTAAAACTGCATCAAGTGACCCAATGGTGTCCTAAAACTGCATCAGGTGACCCAATGGTGTCCTAAAACTCCATCAGGTGACCTAATGTTGTCCTAAAACTCCATCAGGTGAACCAATGGTGTGCTAAAACTCCATCATGTGACCCAATGGTGTCCTAAAACTCCATCAGGTGACCCAATGGTGTCCTAAAACTCCATCTGGTGAACCAATGGTGTCCTAAAACTCCATCAGGTGACCTAATGGTGTCCTAAAACTCCATCAGGTGAACCAATGGTGTCCTAAAACTCCATCAGGTGACCTAATGTTGTCCTAAAACTCCATCAGGTGACCCAATGTTGTCCTAAAACTCCATCAGGTGACCCAATGGTGTCCTAAAACTCCATCAGGTGAACCAATAATGTCCTAAAACTCCATCAAGTGACCCAATGGTGTCCTAAAACTCCATCAGGTGAACCAATAATGTCCTAAAACTCCATCAAGTGACCCAATGGTGTCCTAAAACTGCATCAGGTGACCCAATGGTGTCCTAAAACTCCATCAGGTGACCCAATGGTGTCCTAAAACTCCATCAGGTGACCCAATGGTGTCCTAAAACTCCATCAGGTGACCCAATGGTGTCCTAAAACTCCATCAAGTTACCCAATGGTGTCCTAAAACTGCATCAGTTGACCCAATGGTGTCCTAAAACTGCATCAGGTGACCCAATGGTGTCCTAAAACTCCATCAGGTGACCCAATGGTGTCCTAAAACTCCATCAGGTGAACCAATGGTGTCCTAAAACTCCATCAGGTGACCCAGTGGTTTCCTAAAACGCCATCAGTTGACCCAATGGTGTCCTAAAACTCCATCAGGTGACCCAATGGTGTCCTAAAACTCCATCAGGTGACCTAATGGTGTCCTAAAACTCCATCAAGTGACCCAATGGAGAAAGCAAATTCACCCCAAGGTCAGACCGTGCAATGCTCGGATAAATCGCAAAAACATAGAACTACAATTCAGACTCTACAGGCCTCAGTTAACATGTTAAATTTCATAAAAAGTACAATTAGAAGAAGAACAGACAAGTATGGCATGTTTGGAAGGGATGCCAGGAGAAAGCTTCTTCTCTCTGAAAAGAAACATGTTGAAAAGTTGCATCTGAACAAACCTCAAGACTTCCTGGAGCAATGACAAATCCAAAGTAGAGATGTTTGACTATAATGCATATCAGCATATCAGCACAAACACCTGAAATCAACACTCCATCACGCTGATGGAGGGTCGATGATTTGTGGCTTGTTTTGCTGCCACAGGACCAGGGCACCTTCATGTCGTCATTGAGTCAACCATGAAAAGTATTATACCAAAGTATTAAACGTGAGCCCATCTGGTCACGCAACAGGAGCAAAACTAGCATATCTACAACAGAATGGCTGAAAAAGAAAATAATCAAGGTGTTGCAATGACCCAGTCATATTCCAGACCTGGACTGAAATGTTGAAGAGAACTGAGCATAAACAGGTGTCTCTACAAGCAAGTGAATCATAGGGTTTGTTTAGTTTGTCACCCATGGCTTTTCCATTTTGGCTTTTTTTTGTTAAATAAATAATGACACAGTGTAATATGTCATTTGTTGTTTCACATGACTGTGTAAAAAACAAAAATAAAAAATATATACACACGCACATGCATTTTGTGCGATTTAAGGGTGTGAATCATGCATATTATGCGTAATGTTTTGTGTGGGATGTGATGAATGTGATGTGTAATGTGAAATGCTTGGCTTGTGGTTGTGTGGTAGCGAATCAGGCACAACACAGAGCAACAATCCAATTACATCCTAGCAGACAGACCTGAATCATTCTGCTGCACATCTATGTCATGTGGATCTTCTCCAACACCAAATAACCTCATTTAGGAGGTTTTGCGTTCTCCTCTGACTATGAGGAGCTACGTATTTAGCCACATCCTGGTCTTCAGGGATTGGATATTTAGAGGTTGAGAAGAGTCAAAACTAAGCAAGTCGTGTTGTTTTCCCAAGTTGTACTAAACTGTTTTTGCTTTTCTTCCCAGCTCCCCCTCACTTCCTGAAGAAACCTGCTAACGTATATGCTCATGAAGCCACAGACGTAATCTTCGAGTGTGAGGTCACCGGCTCACCGGCTCCCACCATCAAATGGGTGAAGAACGGAGATGCCGTCATTCCCAGCGACTATTTCAAGATCATTGTAAGTTGCCAGCTACTGTATCTCTACTTGAGTGAGGAAATGCTGACCTTTTGTCATGAACATTTGAGTGTACTATATATGTGAAATTTCTTCTAGTTGACACTTGACAGCAATGTTCTTGTTTGCCTCTTTATAGAAGGAGCAGAACTTGCAGGTGCTGGGACTGGTCAAGTCAGATGAAGGTTTCTATCAGTGTTTAGCTGAGAATGACGCTGGTAATGTGCAGTCGAGTGCTCAGCTCATCATACTGGATCAAGGTACGTCTAAGATAAATATTCTCTTTGTAAACCCTATTGGAAAATCCAGCTAAAACCAGTTTAACCTTCAGGTTCATCTTCCCGGTCAAAAGTGACCGGACACCTAAAAATTAAATTTCCTCCATCCCAGTAAAACCAGTGCAATTTATTTTTGTTCTATAATATTTATTCTTTGTAATTTAGTATTTTGAGACAATTTGATTGAATTTATTAGTATTTATGCAATATTTATGGTCTATTTTTGCCATGGAAAAATATATATATTTTTCTGTATATATATATTTTTTTCCCAAAAATTATTATTAATGCAGTATTTTAGTTTAATATAGAGTCTAGGCCTTCAGAAAAAAAAAAATATATTTTTTTTTTTTGAAGAAAATTAGCACCATCTGGTTACAGTTGCTCAGATCATGACCTCAATTTTTTGTGCGTTCACATACATAATGCCATAAAAGTCACCAAGTTTCGTTACATTCCGATGAAATTCAAAACATACTTTTTGTAATCAAAATTTATTGGTGTGTATGTGTATAAAAGTGTGTTTGTATGTGTGTGTGTGTGGGTGGGTTTGTCTGTTTTGCGCTCTAGATGTTGTAGAGTGTCACCCCTTTCCTGTGGTGCACTTTTTTTTAGAATTGTGGCCGATTTGTAGATTGCATGTACAAAATTTTTTGTCAATTTCCCATTCATTTCCTATGGGGGTCATTTTTGACCGAAGACCACAAGTGTGACTATTTTTTTTTTACGACCACTTAGCATGCTCGGATCATGACCTCAATTTTTTTTGTATTCACATACATAATGCCATAAAAGTCACCAAGTTTCGTAACATTCTGATGAAGCTGTGATTTTTAAAAATTCAAAACAGAAAATTTTTCGGTCAGAAATGACCGAAGAGCACCTGAGGGTTAAGGTGGAATCACCTGGTTCTTATATTAGTTTTAGTACACTCTCATTACAAAAAATGTTCATATTGTCTCATTATATTTTTGCTTTTGGGGACGATTACCAATCACTGGACGCAGTATGGGCCGATACCGATCGCTAATGCAATATCCAACAATCCAATAAATAATACTACATGATAAATAGAAGGCTTGAAATAGACCCACTGGGGTTATTCACTTCATTTACTAGTGAAGCAACTTTAGCTGCGCATAGAAAAAATAGTCTCGCGAGTTTTGCGCGATCTCATCTTTATAGGGACCACTGATTAAACTATATAAAGCTATTATCAGCTGATAACGATCTGCGCCCGATCAATCGGAGCACCATGGTCCATTTAGTTTTACAACAATATCACAACTATTTAAAAGAAATAATTTAAATAAACATCTCAGGGAAACTAGAGGATTTGTCCATGTAGATGATCTTTCTTTAATATGAATCAAATTGAATGTAGTGTTGGTGTAAGTCAGGTGCATGATGCCATCTGCTGCAGCTTCCTCTCTGGCAGTGCCACCTGTTCAGTGTGTGTGTGTGCGCGCTCACGGCCATGTGTGTGCCAGAACCGGAGTTTAATGCGAAGTCTTTATGAGATTCTGGTCCCTAGGTCTGCTAGGCAAAACTCTATAGCATGATTTTTGAGACATTATTCATTCAGACATTATTCATACAATCAGATTGTCAGGCTGTTTCTGTGAAAATTGTATGTTTCTGCGATGAAGCCAGTGTCTCTATGTATTCTCTATGGGCCTTTGCTCCTCTTGTATGAAAATGGCCTATAAACACTTTATTTTGGCAGGCTTCTCAGCGTGTTCTTGTTAAAGCTGCTAGACGGGTTGATTGGAGGCTTTTTGAAGCCTCACTTCTCGCTGCCATCTGGACTAGCACATGGTGAATAGGAAAACACGGTTGCTTATCTTCACTTATTGTTAGAGCTGATTGCTGAGTTTATTAAGTTACAGACAGGGAGTTTGTGGCACAGTCTGTGAAACTTGCTCATTATAATTTTTTTGTAAGGGAATAAATGCTCCCATACTCATTAGGGTAATGCTGCGTTGTTTTTCCCCCTTATCTCTAGAATTGACATGCTGTGATTATCTTAAGACTTTTTATGTAGATTTGCTCAGATTTTCTGAGAAAGCGCAGTAAATTTATTTTAATCTGTGGTAAAAAATGAATTTATGAATGACAACTGTAATAATAACATCCTAGCTACCACCCATTACACCTTAGCAACTGCTCTAAAGACTATTCGGAACATTGTAGTTAGGGATGGGAATCGAAAACCGGTTCCACTCGAGAACCGGTTCTAAATTTTACGATCCATCGATATTGTATGCGCTCGACGTTAACGATTCCTCTTATCGATGCTCCTGCTCTGAGTCAACCAGTATGTAGGCTTCAGACAGTGAACTAACAACTGTCCCTTTGTCCTTTATTAAGCACCAGCACGGCGTCCAAAGCGATTTTTTTTTTGTACCACCAAAGCCTTATTTGATCGGTGAGTACCGGTAAAATTGTCTCTCTCTGTAGTTATGAACCGCTGCGCTCGTGACAGGGCTCGTGTTAAACTGAACGAGCAGGGAGAGAGAGAGCCCCGGTCGTGCGCGCGCGCACCTCTCTCTGGCTTCACTGCTCAAAACTAAGCGCTGTCTTGCTCTCTCTTTCTCCCTCGCACATATTAATCAAAATAATCGACACAATAGTAAGGTCGGGAGACTAAAGTTTCATGTGTAGCATTCGGAGTTTTGTTTTTCCTGAATTACCGCTGGGTGTGAATTGTGCTGAAATAGGTCTACGTTGCCTTATCTTCTCTGAAAAGCGGTCCGCACATTTAGCTGACATAAACCACACTTCAAATAAACGGAAAAAACGACCAAAAGATGAAATGTTTTCTGTGATGACACACATCTTGTGTCGGAACGCGCACACGTCTGATAATGACACGTTCAATTCGCGAACTAATGACTCATTTGAACCGATTCGTTTTAATGAATGGTTAAAACAACTGAACTGATCTCCCAACACTGAACTGAACTCAACACTGAACTGAACTCATAAGGTTTCATTTATTATATAAATTACATCAAAAGTACAGTTTACTTAGTCAAGTGTAAGGTTTAAAACAAATAAAACCAATTGTTTCTTTCCCCCAAAAAAGCATATGACTACTTTTTCCCACACAGTGCTATCAGGAATCGATAAGAGAATCGTTAAAGAATCGGATCGATAAAATCTTATCAATTCCCATCCCTAATTGTAGTTGCCCAGCAACACTATGGCAACTATTCATAACACTACTGTAATGCTCAAGACTACTCAGAATCCCTTAGCAACCCCATAGCAACACCCTGTTGACTATCCATAACACCCTAGCAACCTCTTAACAAGGTATTAAAGACTACTCAGTGTGTCTACATTGCAACACCCAAACATTGCAAGCACCTATAAAACCCTTGCAACAATTAAACAATGTGTTAAAGACTACTCTGAAAACCCTAGCAACGGCATAGCAACACCCTGGTGACCACCCATAACACCTTAGCAACAATGCTCTAAATTGTATTAAGAACACCTTAGAAACCACATTGCAACACGCTGGCATGGCAACCACCCATAAAACCCTTGCAACAACAAAACAATGTGCTAAAGGCTACTCCGAAAACCTTAGCAACTGCATAGCAACACCCTGGTGACCACCCATAACACCTTAGCAACAATGCTCTAAATTGTATTAAGAACACCGTAGAAACCACATTGCAACACGCTGGCATGGTAACCACCCATAAAACCCTTGCAACAACAAAACAATGTGCTAAAGACTACTCCGAAAACCTTAGCAACTGCATAGCAACACCCTGGTGACCACCCATAACACCTTAGCAACAATGCTCTAAATTGTATTAAGAACACCGTAGAAACCACATTGCAACACGCTGGCATGGCAACCACCCATAAAACCCCTGCAACAACAAAACAGTGTGTTAAAGACTACTCTGAAAACGCTAGCAACTGCATAGCAACACACTGGTGACCACCCATAACACCTTAGCAACAATGCAGTAAATTCTATTAAGAACACCTTAGAAAACACATTGCAACATGCTGGCATGGCAACCACCCATAAAACCTTTGCAACAACAAAACAATGTGCTAAAAACTACTTGAAACCCCTAGCAACTGCATAGCAACACCCTGGTGACCACCCATAACACCTTAGCAACAATGCACTAAATTCTATTAAGAACACCTTAGAAACCTCATTACAACACCCTGGCATGGCAACCACCCATAAAACCCTTGCAATAACAAAACAATGTGCTAAAGACTACTCCAAAAACCCTAGCAACTGCATAGCAACACCCTGGTGACCACCCATAACACCTTAGCAACAATGCTCTAAATTGTATTAAGAATACCTTAGAAACTACATTGCAACACGCTGGCATGGCAACCACCCATAAAACCCTTGCAACAACAAAACAATGTGCTAAAGACTACTCCGAAAACCTTAGCAACTGCATAGCAACACCCTGGTGACCACCCATAACACCTTAGCAACAATCCTCTAAATTCTATTAAGAACACCTTAGAAACCACATTGCAACACCCTAGCATGGCAACCACCCATAAAACCCTTGCAACAACAAAACAATGTGCTACTCGAAACCCCTAGCAACTGCATAGCAACACCCTGGTGACCACCCATAACACCTTAGCAACAATGCACTAAATTCTATTAAGAACACCTTAGAAACCACATTGCAAAACCCTTGCATGGCAACCACCCATAAAACCCTTGCAATAACAAAACAATGTGCTAAAGACTACTCCAAAAACCCTAGCAACTGCATAGCAACACCCTGGTGACCACCCATAACACCTTAGCAACAATGCTCTAAATTGTATTAAGAATACCTTAGAAACTACATTGCAACACGCTGGCATGGCAACCACCCATAAAACCCTTGCAACAACAAAACAATGTGCTAAAGACTACTCCGAAAACCTTAGCAACTGCATAGCAACACCCTGGTGACCACCCATAACACCGT